TGAAGGAGTCTGGAAAAACAAACGCTGAAATCGAAGCAGAGATCAACAAGCTGATGGCCACTGTCACCGACGAAGAGCTCAAAGAACAGTTCAAGGCCTATGCTCCGGTCTGCAAGAAACTGTTTGATGCAGAAGGAGCACACAGGGTCAGGAGACACGCAACCATCAACACACTGGAGCACCATTTGGACCATAGCCTCAAGTGGCTCACAGACGCACAGAAAGAAGAACTGAAGTTAATGGAGGCTGATGGTAAGGCAGGAGTGGAAATCAGGGACCAAGTGAGAGTTTTCTACAAGGAACTGTCCGAGGAGAAAAAGCCAGAGGTACGAGAACTACTTCGTGAGGGGTGCCGAGATATGTTGCGGGACTTCTTAGGGTTGGAAAATACTAAGAAGCTGAGTGAGATGAAGTTTGCTGGAAAAACGATTGAGGAGATTGAGGAGGAGGCACACAAGCTGATATCGGATGTAACCGACAAGGATCGTCTGGGTAACTTCAGTAGATATGCTCCTGACTGTATGGAGTTGTTTGCGATGGATTGATTTGACTTTTGTTTTAATGTGTGATGGTCGTTTTGTGTTTTAATATTGCTGGCGTATACTATGTTATGTGATAAATGTGGTTATTATCTTCAATATGGTTTTTGTGTCGCGTGTTGGAGGGATTGTTTTTAGGAGCATCTAGTTTTCCTGTTTTTTAGGTCTTTTCTGTTGTTGATTTTAATGTGCTTTTTACTTTTTGTTTCTCTATTCTTTTTTGTTTGTTTTATTTCGGAGGTTAATTTATAGTGGTTTTAAAGTTGCTTGTTTTTTTTTCTCGTCTTGTGAAGTGCTTGATTTGGAATATTGTTATTTGGGGGAGATGCTTATTGCGCTTTTTGGTGGTGTTGTTTTTTGAGTTGAACTGAAGTGTTTATTTTTTATTTTCTTTGAGTTTTTTACTTTTTTTTAGAGTTGTAACTGCTTGGTGTTTTATTGTTTTGGGTTTTTTTGCTTTACTGAAATCGGGTATTTGGTTACGTTGTATGGTGGTTTGTGTTGTTTGTTGACTGTAGTTGCTCAAGGTTGAAAGTGGTTTTGTTACATTCATCTTTAAGTTGTTCTAGCTTCAGATATTCAAATTTGTTAAAAAACTGTGGTTGTTTCGGGCGTTTTAAAAGCAGTGAAGATGTTGGTTTTCAGTTTTAGGAGGCATTTTTATTTAGATGATTGTATATTCACTTGAAGTTGTAACAATCTGTGTTAAAAAGCATTTTGCAGCTTTTTTTTTTTTTTTTTTTTTCGTTGTACTGTGTAGCGGTATTTGCTGTTCGCAAGACGGACGTTGTTTTGTGTAGCTGTAATGAAAAGAATATAAGGAGAAAATGAAGTGTTTGAAACGGTTAAGCTTTGGCAGACTATATTTTGGTTGTGATTTCGTTCATGGAAAGGTGTCCAGGAATTTGTAGTGGAAGACGCCTTCAAGTAGAGCGGCTAATTTGTTGAATCACATTTTTAGTTATAGAGGATGTTTGAGGGTGTCATTTCATGTGGTTCTGACAAAGATGGATTGGAGTGAATCCTGAGAGTTATGTAAACCATATTTTTTGTTCGTAATTAGTTTCTCTTGAAGGACCTTTCAGATGCGGATTGAAAAGGTTTATTTTAATAATTGTGGATTGATTTGGAGTAACATTGTCTTTGTAAAAATTTTGTTTTTTGCCGATTTACGTCGCTCAACGATCGATATTTGTAGCTTTTGTAGTAAATAATCGATGATTGGTTGGGTAGTTTGCCGTTGTCAAATGAGTGAAAACCTTGCACTTTATTGGTGAAATATACTGATATGATGGTGCAGGGAAGGAGAGGCAAGCATGTATTATTATTAAATGAAAGAGCCCGATACTGGGAAGACTGCAGAAAGCTGAAAAGTCTTTTTACCTGCAGTCTTGAAAACAAAATAGTATTTCACTAGGTTATTGTTTTCGTATGATTTGGCTTTTTATTCAGTTTTGTTTTTTGAAGGGTAATTTTCAATGCTTATAATCATACGGATATACACTGAAATTAGTAGAACATAATTTGTGAAAAAATCAAAATGAATGCTCATTATTTAGTTATTGTTACGCTTGATGGACAAAGTGCAAAAACTGGAGTAAGCCAAGTTTTCATAAAAGTGAGCAACGACTGTAAATTCTAGCTACAGGTAAAATTTTCAGTAGTTCTTTGACCATTTAAAAGTGTTAGACTACCACTGTTAGCGAATAATAAAAAAATATGACGAGATTATATCAAAGCTGAGTGGGAAACTTTTGATATCAGCTATAGTTGCATTGTATCCTATTTTTTTCTCAGTATTACTATTAGAATAAGTCTATAACAAAAGTATATGCTCACTTGATTGGCTTTTAGTGCAATGAAAAAGCTGCCCCAAAGCTTGGAAGCACTTCTTTTGCGTTAGTTATGAAGGAAACAATTTTGTCTTCTTTCTCCCTTCAACTCCCTCTTCGTCTTCTCTTTGCTGACCGTTTTTTGGCAGCAAAGGATAATCTGTTAGATGGTAAGCGTTTTGGTGTGTTCCTTATTTTCAGCAATAATTACCAAAATTGAAACCTTTTTAGGTGAAAATCGTGAAGAGAGTGACAAATAAAAAGGGGTGAGAAGGGGAGTTTTTTTCATTTTTGTATTCTAGTTTTTTTAAGGATTGTCTACCTTGAATAATGCAATGGAAATAAAAAGATGCCGTTGAAAAATAAAAAAGAAAAGAGTTTTTAATATTTTATTTTTCTTTCTGAATAATTGCTAGAAATTAAAAATTAGAGGCAAAGAAGTTTATTGACAAAATGGTGGTTTATTTTAACCATTTATACAAAAGTCACTTAGGCGGCAAAATGATGCCTTACTGTAGAAGTATTATCAAACCGGACCATAAAAATTAATAATGGCTAGAAAATTGGACAAAAAAAAAGGTTGTTGCTGTCGATATAAATTGCTGGAAAAGGGAATTGGTAATACTGCAAAAAGTGTCTTTGTACGACTCTATGCTTCGCTGAAATTTTTTTGTCACCGTATAGGAAAATACACCGCTGATGAATAATTGTTTTTTTCTGTTGTTTGATGATTGTCTAAAACTAAAGACAGCAAAGCTTTTTTGTTTTTAAATGGTTCTTTGGCTGGAATTATTTGATTCCAGATTCATTTAGCATTGTCTGAGAATCAATTAACGCTATGCCTTTGGAAAAAGATAAAGTTAAGCAGAAGTTTTTGTCTTTTTTCCTTCCGTATACGGTATTCTGGTGATCAAGTTAGCTTAATGACAGAAATAAATTTTTTTCAAGAGGACTTGAACCATCAGCTGATTGGAAAGAAATATTACTGCTTGCCACTTACCAGCAAGCCAATTGCTGTCGATGAATCGCAAAATAATTGTTGATTATTATTATTTTCCTGTGCAGTTATCTTATCTGTTGCTTCAGCAAAAACTTGGTGAAAGGAAAATAGACGATAAGGAAAGCTTTTATTGATACAAATAGCTTTTTACGACGAATAATGTTTCCTTTAATAAAACTTATTTATCTATTATAGTTTTATTAAATATAAATTATTAAATGCAACGATTTATTGCTTTATGGGGCTTTTAAAACTAAATAAAAAATGAAAGTAGGAAGATTGTTTTAATTTATAGCGAGCAAAGGGTAGGGAAGGAACTAACTTTTTTTGACTTTTTTAAGCTTTCTGTCTGACCTTTTACTTATCAGCAAATCTTTCTTGCTTTCTTCTTTATTCGTTTGTGTACGATTTTGATTTGAAGTACTGTCCACTTGAGTGCAGTTGAGCTCATAAAGCTGTTTTATGCAACAATAATCAGATGTTAAAGCAGCAGTTTGAGGAGTATATCAAAAAAGAAAATTTATATTTTTTTACAGTATTTGTTTCTGATTGCTATAAACAGAAATTTTAGCCAAAAAGGGGTGATATCAAAGAGAAAGAAGAGATTTTCTTATTCAGTATAATAGTAACAAATTTTGGCAACAACTCTGGTGAACTCTCGTTGCGGTTATACACCTAATTAGTTATGTTTGTCTACCGAGTTTTTGCCAATTTTTTGCTCTTTTGTTCTACTATCTCTTGTATTGTGCATTGATTAACAGGTTGCAGAAAGGCGTTCTTTTTTCTTTTACAGAATAATGACTGACAATCAGCTTGAGAGTAGTACGTCATGTCTCTTCAATGTTAAAGCTGAAGATGATGATAGAGATTTGGATAATTTAACGGCTGAAAATGGGACAACACTTTTACACTCGGTTAATACTGTTTAATTAAGAATCAGTTTTTTTTGTACTGCTGTCTGCTGAAACAGTTTTTCACAGAACAGCAACAGCGGGCAAGAAGTTAGTTTACTTGAAGCTAAAGAAAGAAAATAAATTATTAAAGACTGTTTTATATTGAAATCAGTTGATTTCCGCAAAAATAGTCTTTGGGCATTCATTACTCCCAGCAACCGTCAAATATAAAAATTTTTAATAAACGATTGTAAATTGCTTATTGGTAAATCTGATTTTAGGTGGACAGTTACTCTGTAAGCCTTTTATACAAATGCGGGAAAATTGATCAAAACTTCAACTGTATAAAATGTCTTTTTTGTGGCAGCTTTTACTTTACTTTTTGCTTTATTTTTCTACTTTTTATTCTTATTTAATTAGTTAGTTATTTGCCTATTTTTTCATCCGTTCATTTAGGGCGGAAGTGAAACGAAAATGGCAAAAAATGTGCGGTTAAAAAGTATGACAGATGCTTATAAATCTATCATAAAAATGATTGGTGAGAATCCGGATAGACCTGGACTACTGAAAACACCGGAACGAGCGGCAAGGGCAATGCTTTATTTTACCAAAGGCTATCAAGAAACTCTTGCAGGTTTCTTTTTATTCTTTGGTTGGTAATTTTTTTTCTTCTATATGGTCACAAAAAAATAAAATGGGAAAACCAAAACTGTTTTTTCTATACAGAGAGGTAGTAGAACAATTAAGGGGTCATCAAATAAACAACTGCGTAAGATCACTGCTATATATATAGTATTTCTAATGCTCATAAGTAAACTTAAATCATCTATAATTTTAAGGTACAAAATAATTTTGTTTTTGAAAATTCTTTCAACAGCTTATTGCAAGCTTTTGCTAAAACACGCAGTCAAAAGAGAAAGATATTGATTTTAAACAAAAAGTTGAGAAATTTAGATATAGTGAACGATGCAATATTTGACGAGAATCATGACGAAATGGTTTTGGTACGCGATATTGAAATGTTCTCATTGTGCGAACATCACGCAGTTCCATTTTTTGGTAAAGTTCACATAGGGTACTTGCCACACCAAAAAATATTGGGCTTAAGTAAATTAGCTCGAGTTGTGGAAATGTTTTGTCGGCGAATGCAAGGTCATTTCTTCTTTCTAAATTCCTTTCTTCGCTCATCTTTCGTTGAATTTACCTAATGTAATTTAACTCCTGCATCGGCCATATATCATTACCTTTAATTATTATGAGTAACAAACAAGAAAGTTGTATTAGTTAGAAAGACGGGGTCTGCAAAAGCAGGAAAAATTATGCTAAAAATCTTCATAATTTTTTTTATTTTACAGTACAGGAACGATTAACAAAACAAATTGCCAAAGCGATTGTTGAAGCTGTGGAGCCCTGTGGTGTCGCCGTTGTCATTGAAGCAACGTTAGTGCTTTATGCATATTCTTCCTTTCAGCTTGTAAACTTTTGCAAAAAAAAAAAAGAAACATTTCTACTTTTACCCAATTATTTTAAGAAAAGAAAGCTTTTTTGGTGGTGAAGAGAGGCTGACAGTGAATGAAAATTAAATTAATCTAAATCACTTTTTTACTTTTCATATTTCGAAGTCGTATCGTAGGTTTTTATTGACG